AGGAAATGAGAAGGAAACAGGTACAAAGAAATCAAAAAATTATATTCCATTCCCAAAATGTTACTCTCCTATAAATCTACCAACAAAAAGGAGCTTTCACAAAAGTCATCTTTCAACCAAAAATGAAAGATCCAAACAAAGTAAGCTTAAGGCTATGCATAATCATCTATACATCTTTAAAAGTTTGTTGGTTTCATTCTGCGATGGCACCACAGTAAGTACATGGGAGCCACCCTCCGCAGTCCACACTTCACACTCTTAGCACATCACCTATGATCCAAATAGTTGAAAATCTAAAGGACGAAACCGACATAAACCGGCTAACTCTAATCAGAGAAAACAAATAACTATACGAATCTCTAGCAACATCACAATGAATTGGCAGGTGATCCAAGTTGAAAAGTCCAGCCCACACTTCTCTTTAAAACTCAGGTGTTAAGGAGAGGGAAACTGGAGCCTTATAATCAGCACAGATGGGTTAACTCCAAGTGATATGAGACATATTCCAACACACCCTCCTGGACCACAACATACAGTAGTCGGACAAATGGCACACCAATCACAGGCCCAACCAAGCTCTGATACCAAGTTGAAAAGCTCAGCCCACACATCTCCTTAAAATCCAGGTATTAAGGATAGGGAAACTAGAGCCTTATAACTAGCACAGATGGGGCAACTCCAAGCAAACCCACGCTCCTAGACCCCAACACACACTAGTTGGACAAATAGCCTACCAGTCACAGGCGCAACTAAGCTCTGATACCAAGTTGAAATGCCCAGCTCACATTTCTCCTTAAAACCCAGGTGTTAAGGAGAGGGAAACTGGAACCTTATAATCAGCATAGATGGGGTAACTCCAGGTGATGTGGGACACATTTCAACAATCCACCTACTCCACTGCTTTGCACATGCTATACAAATAGGCAAAAAGAATCCTTTCTTACCCAAAATTTAAAAGGTGAGGGTAGCATCCAAAACAGCTGTATAAACAAAGAAGGTTACTTTGGTAGGAACATCTGATTCCCATACATGCTTCCAAGGAAAACCCCTTTCCCCCTACTACACACAATTAGGTAGAAAGATTTGATTTTGAACCTTCTCCCTTTGCCTTTCCATTTCTATTCATCCTCCCCATTCCCATTTATTCTCACTCTATGAAGTTACTCCAAAAAGGCCTCGACAAATTCCAACCTCCAATCTAGAGCTCTAACAGTATTCTTGCTTCCAAAGGATTAGTAATCAAAGATCATGATATTTGTATTGGCTACGATCTTGTAGAGCTGTGGAAAGATTCTAGATAAATGAGCATCCCCACACCACTGATCCATCCAAGACCTCACTCTATGACCATCATCATTTGCCAAGTAAAGATCCCTACCAGATTAACTTAGTCTATTCTAATTTCTTTTCAAAGCGCCACCCCATAGAACTTGTAACCTCTTTGGATGTCCACCTTTCTATCTCCGAACCATACTTGCTCTCCACTACCCTCCTCCAAAAGAATTAAAATTGCTATGAAAGATAAAAGATGTATAAGATGTTGAAGAATGAGACAGAGAGGGGAGAAGGAATGTGAGAATCAATCAAGGTTCTCTTCCTTGTCACTTATAAAGTTGTATTTGTACTCCAATAATCTGAAGTACAAAAATATCCTTACATCACATAACATATAACATAACACTCTTCATGTTTTTTTTGATGTACAACTTACAAACAATATGATGGAAAACCTTACCACTAAGTCCTTTAGTAAAAGTATCATCCAACCGATTTTCAAATATTACAAAGAGTATACAAACCAAACCATTGTTCAACTTTTGCTTAAAGAAATGCTTGTCAACTTCAATGTGTTTGGTTTTTTCATGTTGATTGGATTGTGAGCAATATTGATGACAAACTTAACTGTCACAATATAAATTTCATAGGTCAATCATCATAGAACCCCAAATGTCTCAGTAAGAATTGGAGTCACATGTGTTCACAAATTCCATCAACCATACTCTCTACTTGCTATTTTGTATTGGCATTGGATTTAGCCATCACTGTTAGCTTTCTCTTTTGCCATGTGACAATTTTTTCCCTATAAATGTGTATTAGCATGAAGTTGGCTTTTAACTCTGTTGCGGCCACAGTAATGGTGGCAGTGACGCAATTTTAGGATGTAATGGACGTAGCATAAGGTTACAACAATCAGATCGGAACCGTGAGTGTTATTTAATTATTTATTTTATTTTTTTTCTCTCTCTCACAACTTTGCAAAATCTTACTGATACATGTTTTTTAAAAATCACATTTATTTGGGGTCTAAAATGATTGTTTTTGACAAGAAAGGGTTTGTAATGGTTTTTGGTATTTTGATTTAATTTAAGCATGATCTACCATGAATACTATATTTTATACTCCCATTTTTTTTTTTTTACTAATTTTCTTTCAACACTTAATCATTTCTTTTGTCATTGTTAAAAAAAAAAAATAAAAAAATAAAAAATAAAAAAAAAATTGCTAAATGGGAACCTTTTGGATATTTGGTTCAGAGGGCCAATCTTATGAACCCTGTCATTGGATAGTCTCAAAAAGTAGGTTCAATTTCTTAGGTCTTTGTACAAACCAATAGATGAAGTGCATGTGGTCACAATTCACTTACCTCAAAGAGCTTGTCAATAAGACCTTTTCACCATATAAATTGAGGCTAAGGCCTCTTGTCAAAAACGTAGTCCTATTTTATTTTATATTTTGATCATCAACAAGAAGGGATTTTATTAATAAAGAAAAGAGGAGATGCAAAGTGAGGACAATACGTCCTCTTACAAGCAAAGGAAAGTAAAACCACTATCTAATTATACATAACAAAATTAAAGATTCACAAACAACTTTCCTGTAAAGTTAAGATTCACAAAATGTAGTCTTGTTACATGGTTTGGCAAGCGTTGCTCTTTATGGTTGGCCGAGCTAGCATATTTATATCATATTATATAGACTTCCATTTTGAACCTGATTTTGCTGGATTTTGAACTCATCCGCCTTGTAGATTCCCTTTGAACAACCCACTTTGACAACTTAAAGAATACACTAGCCCTTAGAAGCAATTGAGCATACAAATCTATTCATCACTAGAGTCACCTCCAACAGTAATTTATCCCAACCACAAACTGAAGCCCTTCGTTTTTATTGAAGGATAAAGCAAGAAATTTATAATGCACCTCTTTTAATTTATTAACATAATTTTATTATATGGAAAAGGCGTTAATTTATTAGAGTCATGACATTCTTAGAATCTTACAACTAAATAAACAAAAAAGGACATTTTAATGTTAAATAAAACAGACAAATTAAAATTAAAAAAATGAATCAGCCATTTATTTACAACTTACAACTACTTGTTATCCCAACAATGACAACTTGAGATGGGGAGGAGGGGGTGTGAATTGGTTTTTTCAAAGATTTGAGCAATAATGAAAACTAATGCATTTTGACCTAACTTAGAAATAAAGAAGGGTCTAATGTAGAGAGATAAAACAGTGTAAACAAACTCTAACGATGAATATGCAATGTGAACAACACACATGCAAATATAAGCAGAAATAAGAAAGATGAGAAGAGATATCAACACATGATTATTGGTGGTATGGCTTAAGTTTACATCCACTCCCCAAGTTTCCTTATATAGTGCTACAACCCCTTGCTTTTCTGGAGGTATTGAACCCTTACGACAAGTGATCAATCATTAATCACTTCAGTAGCTAATATGGATCTGATGCCAGTCACATCTAACCCAAGTGATTTTGTCTCAAAAACCACTCACAAAAGTCACTTTCGCAAGAGCAAAAGGAAGTAGGCGTGCAAACCCTTTTACAATGAAAGTTCAACTGTCAACAAAAATCTCACTCAAAAGTGTATATCCCAATGATGAACACAACTGAATGCTGTCTTATCATATAACAAAGTGCTTATCTTGAATATCTCCAATGTATCCATGTGCTTTCAACTGAGAGTAGAATGCTTCATTAGATCTTCAAAATTTGACTGTTAGCTTAAAAAACTTGCCATTACGCTAAACATCAAAGAGGATAGAAATATTTCCTTTGTTTATTTTCTGTTTTGTTCACTGAAGGTGCTGTTCACAGGTCAAGTCGTCCCGGGTTTATAGTTAAGCCATCGGCCAAACTGACTATTTCAGGTGAGAGATTTTGTTACCCGTGTTTGACCGATACAAGTTTTGAAATCGACCAAATCATGCCTTTGGTGAGGCACTCGGATTTCAGTCAGTGTATAAAACTCGAAGAATCACAGATGACTAAGTTGAAAGTCTCAAAAACCTTAATTTCAAATATGGATGTTCATCTTTTTACTATTTTTTTAAAATCCATATACTAAAAATGAAAATACAAAATGATCAGCAAAAAAAACATAATAACTCATAGATCGTCACTTAGCTCTACATAATGTTCAAATCAACAGTGAACTTGGAGCTTGACGTTGCAATCGAGAAAGGACTCATGGTCATTGTCTATGGTGGAGACATCACAACCTTTCACTTGAACAGCCTTGCAATCCGAATTGAAGATGGGAGGAGTTTTGCCATTTTCAAAGTGATGGAGATATGAAAACCAGAGGAAGGGACATTGAAAAAAGAGGGAGTCGAGAGGTTAGATGTTCTGGAAGGGTTTTGGGAAAAGAAGAAAAGAAACATAAAGGGAGAGAGAGAGAGAGAGAGAGACACACACACACACACACAGAGGAATAGAGAGTGGTTTGGGAAGATAAAATTTTTTTTTTTAAAAAAAAGGTAAATAAAAGAGAATTTTGGGAAATGAAAAATATATATACAAGAATAAAGAGACTGTTTCCGGAAAATAAAAAATAAAAGAAAGGTAAAGAAGAGAGAATTTTGAAAAAAGAAAATATATATATATATATATGTGAGAATAGTATTTTGGGAAAAAGAATAAAAACGTAAAGAAGATATGTAGAGAGTATTGGGGGGAAAAAATTGTACAGGAAGAGAGATAGAGCATTTTTGGGAAAGAAAAAGAAAACATCAAGATGTACAGAGTTTTTGGGAAAAAGAGAAAAAAGTAATACAGGAAGAAATAGAGATCCTCTTGGAAAGAGAGAAGAAATGCAAGTGAAGAGAAAGTGATAAAGTTTGAGAAGACATAAATATCTGACAACTGAATACACTTAAACAGTGAGAAGAGATAAGGATGTAGAGAAAACATAATTGTTTATTGTTTTTAGATATAATTCGGTCGGTTGGGATTTTTCAGTTCTATCATATTAAAATCCATTGCCGACCAAGAAATTACTTTTTCCCAACGTTGGAGCCCGCAGCCAACCATTGACTCTTTTGAAACCGTCTGTTTTTGGTTTTTACGGTTCGGATTGGTTGGTTTGGGCGGGTGATTTGGATATTTGAACCACCCTAGAAGGTATTGTCCTCCCTTGTGCTACATTCTCTTAGTTATAATTTATCTTCATTTCTTGTGTTTAGAAGATAGAAATGGAAACAAGCTTTTGGTCCTACTGTTGTAGCAATTGTAATATCAGTTTTTTAACTGTTTATGTGATCCCTCCCCCCTTTTTTGATTTTTATTATTTGTTTGATTGTTTGTCTTTTGTTGGGAAGTTGTGTGTGTGTGCCCGGGTGTTTTTTTTGGGGGGGTTGTTATTTCATAATGTGCATACTTGTATTTTTTCCCTAATTTATCTCCAGAAATTGATGAAGCTGTATGCTGTTTCTCCAATGAACAGTTGCCTGCTGCAATGCTTGTATGAAAAAAACACGATAGTTTCTTTAAGGCATTGTATTTACAATGCACCAAAAGAGAGATCATTTTGCAGAACTTACATGGTCAAGGCAGCTAATTTGATACCTGATTTTAAATAATTCATCTCTGCATTATCTTTTACCTAGCAGTATCCATGTATGTTTGTTAAACTCTATAATGTTTTAACTCTGAATTTTTTCTGCAGTGTTCCAGCCATACAAAGACAATAAAGTAGACCTTCTTGGGCCCAAACTACTGTTCATTGCCCTTAATTTAGGGGGCTTAGCACTAGGTGTATGGAAGGTATGATGCATTTTCCTTTTCTTTTAGCTTACATAAGAAATTTTTTAAGTTTTCATCACATGATTTTTTTTTTGGGGGGGTTACTTATCAAACTTGATGTTGGCAGCTTAACTCATTGGGTCTTCTTCCAACCCATGCATCAGACTGGGTTTCATCCTTGCCCCCTGCTCAGGTTCGATCCTTGAACCTAATGGCATGCATTATTTTTTGCCACCCCTTTTCCTATGCGAATAATGCTTTACTTTATAAAAATTATCAATGCTATTGGAGTGTTTTACTCATCTGAATTAGTGGATTAAAAATCTCTGACATGAGGATTAATCATTGGAGGGCTAGATCTGGTACAAACTGCATGATATTCAGTCTCCTTTGTAGACATAATTACTCGATAGGAACTAATGGAACTATAAGTCTCTCAACAAGAAGAAAAATCAATTGTTTAGTCCCAATGCAATCTTGAGTCATTTGCTTCACTTCAATTTTTTCCCAATACCATTTATGACGGATCATTGTGTTTTGATATCCCAAACTTCTTGGAACCTAGTTTGAACTGTAATCACAGCAGATATGCAGCCTTGTTGAAAAATTATCAGGAGACTTGTGCCTTAAGTAACAAGTGCAGAAACACACATTTGAAGGTGGAGTTTAATGTATAATAATTCTAAGTTGGTGTTGCACTTTTTGGCCTTCAAAAACATATTGTTCTTTGCTCAAGTTAGTTTTGGCCATACAGAAATTGTTGTTATTTACTGTATTTGAATTTTCAAGAGATTCCAAACCCCTAGTTCTTTCTTTCTTATTACAAACCAAGTTCTATCTGGTATTGCAATTAGCTCATTCGTGAATTTTTTTTTTTTTTTTTTCTTTCTCTTCCTTGAAAAATGATAATGAGTTGTAAGGCAGAGATTGGTTTTTGGTGACTACAAAATAATGGATTCTTTTTAGAGAGAGTTGAACCACTAGAAGCTGTAATTGATTTGAACAGATTGCATGGTTTCTTGGTATTGCATAAGTTGCATTGCATTGTGGTTGAAAAATAAATCGGATTTACTGGAGGAGAAAATGAAGATATGAAAAGCAAAATATAAAAGAATGGTTCCACCTAGGGAGATCTGGTTTTCCATAAAGAATGCAGATATCCAATCTCAAATTCTACTTGCCACTGGAGATGTATTGAACACCTGAGGTTCATGCAATTAAAAGGGTTGCATTTATGTGCTTAATCTCTTCCTAAGTAATTTTAAGATCTTATCATTGTCATTCTGAATTCATCTTGTAATTAACTGGTGGTTGAATTAGTCTCTACAAGGTTTTTAGTGTAACAATGTCTGCTAAATTAGGAAGCACCAAAAAGTCTAAATAAACACTCTCTAAGTTAATTTGTTAACTCCAAATAAACTACTTATATGTATATGCATATAAAATAAAATAAAAATGGGGAAAAAATAGTGGTCCCTTGTCCTGAAGGGAATGGGTTGTGACTCCTACATATTTTAATGATAGCAACCAATCAATGTAGCAGGCCTGACTCTGACTTCAACTGTAAGTTGACACTTTGAGGGTTGCTCTCTTTAGGAGGTTGACACTTTGGGGATTAATGAACTCCTTACCACTGGTATTCTGAGTCAGTCAATGAAGCTCATAGATTTTTCATTCTGTAATAAGCAGATATCCTTATTCGGTTTGACCTTTCTTGATGTTTAGTGTCCACTGTAAGTCATGATTGTAGGTTGGAAGAGTTATTGATGCTAATTCCAAGTGTCACGTCCTGCCAAATTACCTGGACAGAATTGCCTACCAAAAGAAAGTCTTGTGGAAGGGAGGCTAATGGAATATTCTGGAAGCTCCTGGAAGACTTGAGAAAATATGAGAATATGGTTACATAGTGCTATAATGTACATGGAAGCTTCTAGAACTCCCTAGAGAATGGCTACAAAAAGAGAAGCTAAAATAGAATAACTTAGAATGCCCTAGAACACTCAAGAATTGTACATAAGTCTAGAAGCTTGTACATAATACTTGCATATTCTAGAATAGTTTATTAGATATAGTAGGAGGAAGTATCTAGGACACTCTCCATCCTTGTAGTTTAGAATGTTCATTGTAGCCTATAAAAGGGGGAGGGCTTCATTTGCCCAAACTCACTCGAGAATTGTAAAGCATCCAAAGCAATACAATACAAGCATTCTCCAAGAGCTCTCTCTCTAAGTTTCTCTTGTGTGTGCAATCTTCTAATAGCTCTCTTCCAAGAAGGCTTACTTAAGTGCAAGCAAGGCGTGCATAAGCATCTAAGGCCACACGGTTGGCTTGGAAAAACCAAGACCGTGACAGTTGATATCAGAGCCAAGGTTACGAAGGCGCCGTAACTAAGGAAGGAAGAGCACTATGTCGGAAGTAATCCACACCGAAGAGAACCGCGGAAGGGAGACTACTACAAACTTGGGCAAGAAGGCCAAAGACAAGTCATGCAACATCATGAGTGCCATGGAGACCCGAGTGGTCAAGGTGGAAGTGGCTGTGGCTGTGGCCGACGTCAAGGAGCGGCTAGATCGGTTGGAACAAGGGATGGAGCAACTTGACGGCAATGTGAAAAGCCAAGTCGAGGAATTGCTTGAGCTCGTGTGGGACACCATCCGGACCAACCATGAGACCCACAAGCAAGAAAGCTATGACTTTGAGGAACGGATCTTGAAGGCTATCTCTCAACTCCAAGACCAAGTCCAAGAGCTGAAGGAAGGCTTGGAGGAGACACGGGCAGACTAGGCTATAGCCAGTGGTGGTGTTGCCACTAATGTGGGATTCACTCCAAGGCTTGAGGCACCAAAGCCTAAGGAGTTTGATGGCAAAAGGGATGCTAAGGAGCTAGACGACTACATTTGGCACTTAGAGAGGTATTTTGAAGCCTTAAACTTAAACGATGGAATGGCTAAGGTACGCACTCTACCTCACTAAGCTTGTTGGGATTTGGTGGCGTCGTAAGCATTCTGAAATTGAATAGGGCACTTACACTATCTCTTCATGGGAAGAATTTAAGAATGAACTCATGAGGCAATTCTATCCTGAAAATGTGGCACATGAAGCACGACTGAAAATGAGGGAGTTGAAGCACACCTGCTCTATCCAGGACTGTGTCCAAGAATTCTCTGGATTAATGCTTCAAATTCCTAATATGAGTGATGATGACTTGCTTTTCAACTTCACAGTTAGTCTTAAGCAGTGGGCACAGTTGGAGCTACAACGAAGGGGTGTCAAAGACATTTCCACTACACTCACCGTGGTTGAGACATTGGTGGAATATACAAAGCCAGAATCTTCTAACTCGGAGTCCACCAACGATGGTCAAGGCAACAATGGGGGAGCAAAGTGGGCCAAAGAGTCTAGGGATTCTAAGGCTCCAAGGTACAAAGAAGGCGGAGGCAAGCCATCATCACGCAAAGATTGGAAGAAGATGCCAACAAAGACATCAAGCCCAAGGACAATTGCTGCATTTGCGATGGGCCACATTGGGCGCGGGATTGTCCTAAGAGAAAGAGCCTTAGTGCAATGCTGGAAAGACAAGAAAGGGAAGAACAAGCACAGATGGGATCTCTACAGCTACTTGGTGCCATAGAATCGAAGCCTACTACATTGACCCAATGGGATAAGGGTTTCATGTACGTAGATGCCAAGATCAATGGGAAGGTGACCCAAGTCATGGTAGACACAGGCGTGTCACACAACTTCATCAAGGCGGAGGAGGCCAAGAGGCTTGGTTTGAAACTTGACAAGGGACAAAGGTTGATGAAGACAGTGAACACCAAGGCAGAGCTCGTAGATGGCTTGGCTCGAGGGGTTGAGCTGCACCTTGGTGGGTGGTGCGGAAAAGTCAATTTTTCGATAGCATCACTCGATGACTACACATGGTGCTAGGGATGGAGTTCTTGCGGAGTTCAACGTGACGCTGTTACCTTGCAACAACACCATGTACATTATGGAAGGTGGGCCTTACATGGTGCCAATGGTGAGTAAGCTAAATACTAAACTCCAACTTCTGTCAGTTATGTATATTAAGATGGGGACGGACAAGAAAGTGGTAGCAGGCGCTACCAAGAAGATGACTGGTTCCATAGAAGAAAGTCTACCAACATGCACCATTGATAAGTCAACAATAGGACAAGTGGACAAGGTAAATCGAAGAAGGTGCAAGTCAAATAGAAAACCTGTGACTTCAAGGATGAAGGCGCGACGAGGGCGTCGCGAGCATAGGTGGGGGAGAATGTCAAGTCCCACCAAATTACCTGGACAGAATTGCCTACCAAAAGAAAGTCTCATGGAAGGGAGGCTAATGGAATATTCTGGAAGCTCCTGGAAGACTTGAGAAGATATGAGAATATGGTACATAGTGCTATAATGTACATGGAAGCTTCTAGAACTTCTTAGAGAATGGCTACAAAAAGAGAAGCTAAAATAGCATAACCAAGAATGCCCTAGAACACTCAAGAGAATGGTAGATCTTGTACATAAGTCTAGAAGCTTATACATAATACTTGCATATTCTAGAATAGTCTATTAGATGTAGTAGGAGGAAGTGTCTAGAACACTCTCCATCTTTGTAGTTCTAGAATGTTCATTGTAGCCTATAAAAGGAGGGCCTCATTTTCCCAAACTCACTCAAGAATCGTAAAGCATCCAAAGCAATACAATACAGGCATTCTCCAAGAGCTCTCTCTCTAAGTTTCTCTTGTGTGTGCAATCTTCTAATAGCTCTCTTCCAAGAAGGCTTACTTAGGTGCAAGCAAGGCGTGCATAAGTATCTAAGGCTGCACGGTTGGCTTGGAAAAACCAAGATCGTGACACTAGGCATGAACTGCAATTTTTATAGTTGCAGTTGTCTTTTGAATTTCATGTTTAGAGATTTGTTTATTTGAATTTTCCCCTAAATGTACTTTAAGTTGCTCACAATAGGCTAGAATTTGAAGAGAGGGTCCCGAATGGACTTCCAAGTATTTCCCTTATACTGTTTTAGTCCATGATGCTTTATCTTAGCTAAGTGATGCCATCTCTGTGGATTACATATTTTAATGATATCAACCAAATCAATGTAACATCTGACTCTACCACTAGTGTAAGTTGACACATTGAGGGCTATTCCCTTTAGGACGTTGGAATGGTGCATCTTCAAGGCTGGGCCTGAGGTTTTGGAGGCCCAAAGCAAACCCCCAAGATTGGGGCCCTCTTGTCTATTTTCACAATTATATCTCTGCTCATTGCTAAGATTTAAAAAAAAAAAAAATCCTAAATTCACGTTTGATTTTGAGTTTTCAAAAACAGTTTTTGGGTTTTTTATTTTTAATGTTTTGTTGTCTTTAGTGAACTTTTTTTAATATTTTAGTCATTTTTATTTTTATTTTTATTTTTATTTTGTATGGTTTTAGATGCATCTGCTATACTTAAAAAGTAAATTTTTTGTGAAGAAATCTAAAAAGTATTCAATAAATATTAAAAAAAAATACAAAATGTATTGAATTTTTGTATTTAAAAAAAAATTACAAATTTTGTATTTTTTAAGTGTATCTAGATTAAGTGGATCTAAAAAATAATTTTTTTATTTATTAAAACATTAAAAAAAATTCACCAAAATTAAAAAAATACATATTGAAAACTTGACAGCTATTGTTGAAAACTCAAAACCGAACAGAGTGACCTGAAACATCACAACAACAAAAGCTCTAATCTCTTTGGGCCAAAAAGACAATTTGTCCAAAATGACAACTATATGATAAAATCAACCTATCTGTCTATTTGTTGAAATTCACCAAACTATGTATTGAAATGTGACACATGTCACTCATTCAACAATGTATCTGTTGAGTATTACACATTTCTCTACCTCACCACCACCACTTGTTGCCGCCAGCCGTTGCCGACTTTTCTACCACCAATGCCTTTTTCTAACGACCTTTTCCGGTGTGTCCTTCTCACCAAACAAGATTTTACCTTGGATCTAATGATTTATATCCCTTGGGGATGGACTTTTCACCAATTTTTATTTTTTATTTTTTATTTTTTATTTTTTATTTTTATAATAAAAAAAGCCCTAAAAATTACGTTACAAACCTAAATAAAATCAAATTATGTATCTAATTTTTTTTTTTTTTGCAATTATACATACATGCGTATATTGATTCAATGGTAAAACCTTGGCCTAATAACCTTGAGGTTATGGATTCAAATCTTAGGACAACCACTTTGTGCATTATGCCAAAAGTTAGGTGTGTACCCAATCTTTTCCCTCCCAAACACATTAATATATACTATTTTGGTGT